TATATATATATATATTTTATATACAATAATATTAATATTAATAATATTAATAATAATATTAATAATTATTTTAACATTTAAGGAAAAATTAATATTTGCTAAATAAAAAATAATAGTTAAATTAATTTTTGTACCAAATGAATGTTTGTTTACATTTGGTAAATATTAAACTGACACTACTCAAATAAATATTTATTAAAATTTAGTGCACATATTTTTCTCTTAGTGTATTAAAACAGTTATATATAGATCTTATCTGAATATAAAAAGTGAAACAATAAAATGCCCAATATATATTTTAGCAAATAATAAGGTACAATAATGTATTTCACAGTGTGTATTTAATCCATTTTTATATTTATAATATTAAACATACATTTTTACGTTAATTTATACAGTGTAACGACTTTAACGTTGAATACGCAACCAAGCGAATTCGCTGTGACTCTTTATGAGTAGTAAAAAATCGGAATCTCATTTCGCAAGAATATTTTGTTATCAATAGAAACAACTCACAGCTGATAGCCCACGTACAATTTACAGTTCTCGATGCGTGCATAACGAGTACTCGTATTTCGCTCGTTATCTTGTTACGTGAAGATATATAAGCGATATATTTGTTGCTCATCATTACGCACGGATGACGCAACATCCTGTGCATAAAAGCGTTAAATTGTTGTAACATGATGTCACATGAATTCTGAACTGGCCCTCAGGACCTATCTCTCAACTGCTTTGCAATTAAATTCCCAAAAAGATTGGAGATGCTTTGTACCCCGTGTGTTTTTAAACCCCGACAAAAACGTCTGGCTCGTTATGTTGGCAACCAGACGTTTTTGTCAGTAGGTAGGCCAGGTGTTGTGAACGTACACAATACTTTATTTGAATCGACAGAAAATAGAGAACAAGAAAATAGAGAACTGTCTTTCGCAGAGGGGTTCTTCTTGAAGGAACGCATTAAAATGAAATAAAAAAACCGGCAACTTTATGGCGTAAGCTTGTTTTGAGCGAGGCTTCGATTAAATCACTTTCGCTATCGTCGATTACGTTTCTGGTAAACACGCAGAGTTGACGGTATAACGGACATCTAATCCGGATCCTGCGATCTTGATTGTCCGATCGAATTCACTTCATGTGATCGTGACTCGTTGTCGCGGTATGCGATGTCGAGCGTGGGTCGAAGTTGGCCGTTGAAAATCGCTTGCACGGCACACAATAAAATCCCGAGTTATCGATATGCACATACGAATCAATTGTCGATCCTTTACATATCATTTCAAATAGAGACCTTATATCAGAGTTTAGCTATGAACGATTATATAGTTTCTAAGTTTAAAAATAATCAGTTGGCTCATATTTCGATTGTTTAATACGAGGATTAATAAAACTGTCGCCATTGATTGTAAAATATTGCTACTATAATAACAAAAATCTCGCGCGATTCCAATTTATCGATAAAACTGCTCGGTACACTGAGAGAAAAAGATGATTGCAATTATCATAATTTAGCTATAATTTGTAATTACTTTTGGCACCAACTTTAATACTTTTTGGGGGTAGAGCTCTATAAATATAATTGTTCTTTATAGTATATACACTGAGAAAAAATATAATCAATTTTAATAATAAATATTTAATTGAATACTGCCGATTAAATATTTAATAAATATAAAGACATATTTATTTGATACAAGAAACATTAATTTAATAATCATTCTTTTTAATGAATAAATATTTATTTATGATAAGTAAATGTTTAGTTGGCAGTATTAAACTAAATATTTATTAAAATTGATATAAAAAATATTTTTTTTCTCAATGTACGATTGATACATTCGTATCCTGCACATTTCCAGGGTTGTCACAGAAAATGAATTTTTAAATTCCTTGATTTTTCTAGATTTTCCAGATAAAAATGGAAAATTTTCTATTGTATGATTAATATAAAATATGTAAATTTCAATATTTAGACTTAAGGATGATAGAAAAGGTAGTTTATATTATTAAAAACAACGAAAAAAATTCAAATCAGTAAAAAATAAATTAGTTTTGGAAAAAAATGCAACTATGACAAAAAAAAGGATCAAATAAAAACACTGAATAAAATATAAATAAATATAATATAAATTAAAATAAATAAAATAAATATAAATAAATATAAATATTTTATTAAAATCGTTTAAAGTGCGCAAGTTTTGAACGTATTTGACTATAACATTATATTTAAAAAATTATATATTAATTTCGAAATTTCAGACTTTTTTATTTATCCCTGACTTTTCCCAGTTTTTCCTGATTAATTTCAATTTCTTTAATAATAATAATTTTTTCCGGTTTTCTTGGTTTTCTAGGTATGTGGCAACCACTCTTTCTCTTTTTAAAAAAACTAAAAGGATTAAGTAAAAAATTATAATAGTATAATACAATCTTATTTAAATATACAATTTTTTTAAATACACAACTTTACAACTATTTTCTAAAGATGTTAAAGTATACGTAAGAATCTTTTAACTTTTTGTATATTTCTTAAAACGATAAAAAATAACTTGAGACACGAACGATCCATCATATGTGATAAAGGAACAGAAAATCATTGTGTGTATTAAGGATTTTATATATATATATTGCACTCAAAAATTCTAATTAAATCAACGGCATTTTGAAAGCGAACAGAATTTTTTGTTATCACAATTAGAAATTCTGTTTATCTTCACCAGAATACTATTCTCGTTGTTAGCGCCTTCTGTTGGTTTAATCAAAACATTTTTTCAATGTGCTAACAATGCAGCGATAATAATTAATAAAAATGCAGCTTTTAATCATAATTATTTTACCATGCAATAGTCACAAGTATAAAACACTTCACTGATTCAGTAAATCTACAATCGTAATATACATTTAGTTTTCTATGTCAAGTAGCAAAGTTGACAACTGAGTAACATTAACAATTTGTTAAACCATCAAATCTTCTTAGTTATAAATATGGAATTCGCAATAAGCTATAACTTTACTGTACTATCCAATCTATTTTTTTTTTGTATTTCCTCTCCGTATATCTTTCAGAATTGCGCTGATATCATATACGTGTTCTTTCTCACGCGCGTACAAGGTGTGCCATGCACTGTAAATCCAAGTGAATAATAATATGGCTTCGTGTGTGTGTGTGTGTGTGTGTGTGTGTGTGTGTGTGTGTGTGTGTATGTGAGACATAGTTTTCCATGTAAAAAATGACACCATTATACTCCACTTTAAATATGTAAATCTTTTTTTGTATGCAATATAACGTATTATTTTTACATGGAAAACTAAGATCCCTATTCTATAACTCTTAACGATAGTAAAGATGTCGTTAGATTGTCGTTAATGTATAGTTTTTTTTCTGCATAACGACAATGTACAATATTTTTACTGTTATTAGGAGTTATGGAATAGGGATCTTTCAAATACATACATCACACACATATATCTATAATAAAAGACATTTATTGTGCCTACTACACTTGGATACAACTTTACAGTGATATCTTTGACGATCCATTTGAAGAGTGCGATTCATGGTTCGAAATGGCAGTTTGAGATTCGCAAATAGTGTAAATGGACATATTCATCGAGGTCATGTTCGTTATTTAAAATTCATTGCCAATTCATTAGAGTAGAGGGGTTTTTCTGACGAAACCAAAGAACGAATCGCCGCGAATTGCGAATAGTCTGGTACTAGCTTGAGAGATCACACGAAACAAACAAATTGTTAAATCAAACAAAGAGACCTGGGACGCGATCGATAAGAGCTGCTCTATGCCGCTTTAATTCTTGCTACTGGATGCTCTTTCGAGACCCCACAGGCGATTCCTTGTTTTTTCGCCTTTCCTCATAAGGAAGTGGACAACCTTTGATGCCCAGATCGGGCACTCGACCCCGTCATTTCTTTTACGAACTATAAGCTTTCGTTTCTCGTAGTCCTACGTGACGAACGGTGATCCCGTTGATCGCGTTTCACCGTGAAATGCGGTGATTGTCGCGCGAGGACTACCACGTGACCGTGATATCGGTACTGATGGAGGTGTCGG